ACCAGAAAATTTTTTATTTATCTAATTATCTAAAAATTGTCTTGTTTTCCCACTGGTCTGGTCTGCTGGCCCAATGGTCCATATCCCCAATTAGTCAATATCCACACGCCTTTTTATTAAATTATATTCTCCTTCCTTTTTCAGAAGACACGAACGTGAATGTATAATTACAAACATGGCATTTTTATAAGCTTGTATGTCTTTATTTTAGTGCTTCAGCCAATATATGTTCGATGTGTACTGTTGCTTGGAGACTGAACCCTATTAATTGGTCTGGATTGTCCTAAAAGCCTCCGTGCTTTTCTTCAAAATCAAAAAGCAAATATAAATATTGAGTGGGTGGAATATATGCTTTTTCCTATGAAAAACTAAAATATTCGCTTTTCAACTATTGTCAAATTGCGGAAGAATGAAGCGGCATGTCTTTTCAGATGATGTTATGTGTTTGTTATATGAGTGTTGATACTCGAGTTCTTTCCATTCCCCCCACGGGACCAATTCAACAGGCTTCTCTCCATAGTTTCTTTTTTTTAGTGCCTTTTCGCTTTCTCGAAAAAACCCACAATCGTCGTTCTCAATTGGTCTCCTCAAACCCTTGTCACTTTTTTCCCCTAAGAAACAAGGAAGAGAATTGGGACCATTCGGATTATGTGGGAATAGATGTGATACAAAGAGACATCAATCACTCCCCATTTCTTGCCAGAGGGTAATTATTGTCTCAAGTTTGTTGGGGTTGGGTTAGAGAGAAACTAGAATTGAGCCTATTTTCGCTATTCTCCAGATTTTTTAAACCAGACAAGGGAAATGACTTCGCCCTTTCCGTTACTTAACCCAACGAACTTTTGTTCTTGTTTTCTTGCAACAACTCCCAAATAAACGAACAATTCTTTTTATTTTTCCTTGTCTCATGACAATTCAAAATTTTTCAAAAAAAAAAAAGACTTTGAAGTCTCAATTCCCCCGATATCGTTGTTTTTTTGACTTTGCTCTCGAATTTATCAACTTTTCAGCTCCCCCAGCCTTCTGTGAGTGTTTTGACTTTTCTATCCATCAATGTTATTGACACTTATTTCCCTTTTGTGCCAAAAAATAATAACTTTTTGTCTCGAACATTCTTATTTCCGGTTTTCGAATCGAGCGGCACCCATCCGTTCAAACCCACGGCGATATGGTGAGACTAGTACCAATCGAACATTTCAGTTATTTAATTTCCGTTTAAAAACTTTTGTGAAAGATACATCCTTCCGTTATTGATAAAGATAGTCTGCTGTTTGTAGTCTATAACTTTGGTTTTCAGCAGTACGGTTTTTCATCTAGTTACAGTACCGGGCAATACCATATATTTGAAAAACGTATTTTTCAGTGGACTTTTGGCCACATTGTCTATTTTCCGATCAATTTGAAGCTTTTGGAGGGTGTAAAACAGACCCAGATTGAGAACTTTGCATTTGCAGATTTTTTCGGAAATTCCTATTTTTTCAGCTATTTGCCGATTTCTAGAAGATACACGCTTACTTCACTTTTTGTATTACAAAAACTAGCCGACAAGAGTGTCCTACAGAAATCGAAAATTAGATGAAAAATTAGGTATTTTTAAAAATTCTGTAAATGCAAAGTTCTGAACCTAGGTCAGTTTAAATCCTCCCAAATTTTGAAAATGATAAGAAACTGGACAGCTGTGCTACAGACTAAAAAAATTTATCGAAATGCCCGACAATCGGCTGAAAAATACGTTTTTTGCATATCTTATTGACCGGTACTCTATGTCTTTTGGGTTTAGACTTCATCCCTTGTCCCGTAATACTGGCTAGGAAACAAATATGTTGTCATTTGTCATTCTGGTTCTCCAATTTTTCTGAACCCACGCATGACAATGAATTTCAAATCAACTAGGACAGCATGTCTGAGACGGAAGTAACTTTGCACTCCAAATGATTCAAAGTAAGTTTATCCCCAGGTAATCCGCTGTCCTTCGGGGCTAAAGTTATATCAGGTTTCAAGGCTCGTCATAATTGCGGAAAATCCGGAGGGACAAGTCCCAAATAGGCAACAACTATGCATGTACACGCTTTTGTCAGTCTATCGTCAGCTTTCACCTGCTCTGTCAATGTCAGCCTAGCTAAAAAAGTCTTTTCGGTTTTTTCTACTGGTAGGATCGGTCTTTTCCTTTCTTCAGTGCTCCAGACGACGATGACAGAAAATTTTTCTCGAGCTCTCATGCCGATTGTATCTATTCTATTACCTTTTTTCGTGGTCAAGCACTTTGTGAACACGAAATAGGATGGGTGAAAGAAGAGGCGCGATGGACCCGTCGACCCCCAGCGGGGCTCCGAAACAAACTTCGTCATTTTTCGATTGCCTCCGTCCGAATTGAATTCTTCGTCCGCTCTTTTTTTCTGAGTTTTCGGTCGGACCGGGTCCATGGGTATGAATGTATGTATGTGTTTGTGTTCCAAGACAACCTTCTTCATTTCCAATCGACAGTTGCTGAGTAGGTTGGTAATGAGAAAAAAGAAGAAGAAAAAGAATAAGACGGAAAAAAGATATCATGGAATTTCAGTGAAGTAATAAACACTGAACTTTCTTCTCTCGTAAACTTTCCACCCGTAACCTTATCCCATCCGATCTTTACTTTCATCTCCTTAGCTTTTTTGTTCATTTGATCATTTTCAAAGTTTGTGTTTATGACAAAAAATCCCAAGATTTTTGATATTCGTGAAACACCAAACCACCAGTTTGGCATGAGCCAAATGCGTCTTTGAGTTATTAAAAACGAAAGGAAAAAACTTAATGAAAATTTTTCGATCACCAGATTTGTTTCAAATGAAAATAGAACTTCAGTCCAAAGAGCCTTATAAGATCTCACTGATCTGACCACATCCACACCGAACTTTTTTGCTTGGTTTTTAGATTTCTCTGAATATTCGTTTTCAGTCTAATGAAGCCGTCTAGTTTTACTATAGATTCTGAATAACTCCTTGTCTAGTCAGAACGAAAACAATTCTGCATAAGAAAGATGAGTTGTTTTTTGGAATGAATATCTTTTTTTTCTAGGTTTCTAGAAGTGAGACAAAGATTCTATCTTTGGTCGATTCCAAATCGTTTACAACACACTTATTTCCCTTCAACCCCTTTTCGGTTTTGTAAACATTCGAAACAAGACTACTTGCTTCAATTGACTTCTCTATTCTGCTTCGCCACCAATTTTTCCCTCACAAATTGGTTCAAACATTTGAAACACGCCTTTTTTTTACTTTTTTCAGTGACTAAAAGTTCAAAATGCTATTAAATATGAATAGCAAGAGGCCGAAGAGGCGGGAGAGCGGTTCTTGTGCTGTTTCCTTCCTCTCCTGGCTGCTCCCCTCCGGCCTACAGGGAGCCGCCCCATTTTTATGATATTGGTCATACACCTCTGAAAAGCAACTTTTTTTTGTGTGCCTTCCTTTTTCTCATCCAATTCTTCATCCATTCGGGTCGACTCGACAACTACGTGTTTCTTTTGCGCCCCGTCTTCTTCACCCCTACTTTTATTCGCCATACGGGCCCGTGTCCTCTTCTTCATTCAACATCTTATAGATGCGCTCCGTCGAGAAGGAGAAGAAGAGAAAGAAGAAGAAGAAGCAAAAAAAGAAGATGGGTAGAAGGAGTACGGGGAGGCTAAGCTCCGCCCCCAATTCGTGCCGTCATTTAGTTAGGTTGGGTGAGCCCTAGCCCTATTCTCCTTCCCGGTTGCCGGTGCCGCTAATTTTTTTCCTGGGGTTTCTCTATTTCAATCAGACTAGAGATTAGTCTCTGGCTGAAATTAAAGTGTTGTGTTGTTCGGCGACACCGTATCACGTTGTTTTTTCTTATTCCCATTCGGGATGCTGTAAATAGAGAAGTACCGAAGATCTTACGTCATTTCAAAACAGTATATCAACAAGGAAAGAATTTCCCTTTACTTTTTGACCTGACCTTTTTTGATTCTTCCTCTGATTCTTGCTCCCTCGACTCTTATTAGATTTTCAATCTTGCTCACTTGACCTCTTTAAGCATCTAAGGTTTTTCTATTCTTGCTCTTTCTGCTGCTCTAGTAAGTTCTAGAGATTTTCCAAAAAACATTTTAAGCAATAATTATTAGGGTTGATGGAATTTCCCTACCACCTTCCTTAATAATATGCCAGTATGAGTTTTCTAGCCTTCCTTCTCGTTTCCATTACTTAATCCATAATTTGAAACGAAGAAGAACGATCATTTAGTATACATATAATTTATCCATTTGCATCTTTTCGTCTTTTTTTTCATTCCATTCGTAGGCGACGTTCCGTTCCGATGCATAGATTAAGCGATTCGGCACTTGCTGCTCTCGAATGTTAATTGACCTTAAGAGAAAACGTTTTCTTCTCTCTCCTTTCTAATTTTTTTCTTCCTTGTCATAGTTAATGATGGTCCACGAATCAACGGGGGTTCAAAGATGAACAGTATCCAAGCTTTCTAATTATTCTTCTTTCTTGGTGTTCCAGAATATGAGAAGTCGTGGGGTAGAGAGGGGTCACATGAATCAACCCTTGTTATTATTCAGGAAGTCGACTACTACTCAAATGAATAGTTATTAGATATAAGACTCCTAAAGAGAAAATAGATCAATTCGTGTTAGCTCATTTTTCGCTGTTCTGCTTATCAGAAAATTGACGCCGGAACACTATTGTCCGAGAATTTGAGATGAAGAAAACAAGTCGACGTGACAATTTTGAGCAAAAATATAAATCGGGGGTAGTCAATTACACTGATACCCTCTATTCAAAGAGACATAGCTGCCCCAAAGTCACGTAAACAGTTTTCAGAAACATGCCTATGTCAATCATTTTGTGTTCTCGTTCTAATTCTGATTCTTTCTCCATTTTTTTCTAATATCCTATTTCATTCTAATATCCAATCATCATCCCACGCGTCATCATCTCTTGTTCTACTCTCTATGGACCCGTCTTTTCTTGTTCCCAAAAAGAAATTTCAGAAATTCGATGAACGAAGTGCAATGGCCACTGCTCGCGCTGTTCTCCATCCTGATCATCTTGGCTCTGTTCGGTAATCTACTAGTATGCGCAGCTATCCTGTGGGATCGCTCGTTGCGGAAACAACCCGAGAACTTGTTCTTGGTGTCGCTTGCAGTCTCGGATCTTTTGGTATCGGTTTTAGTAAGTTTCGGGTGTGGGTATCGGTAGAGTTCTCTGTTTTTGGAAAGCGATGAGTTTTTTGGGGAGCTTTTAGAATACAAGAATGGCTTGAGGAAGATGCGTTAAATCTAATTTGAGCGTATTGTTGCTGGCACAAAAAAAGATATCTACTTGCGAAGTGGCGGTGGAAAATTTCATGTCGACATACACACAGAAGCTGAGAAATAGTTATAATCGACTTTTGAAGAATTTCATAAAAAATCAACAAGCCATATTCAGAACATTCTACGGGTTTCAGGTGTTTCGAGTTTCGATTTTTTCAAGTCATAATTAAATATGATTTTAAGATACCATAAATATTCTATCAGAAACCCACCCTATACGTGTACTTTGAGTTCATACATTTCGATTCTTTCAATAGATATTATTAAAAATTGACTAATAAATTATTTATCATAATATCATCAATATTTTTCTTTCAGTTGTCAGATTTTTGATATATTTCACAGGAAGCAAGATATTTGAGCGCAAAGAACATTTATAGGGTATGATTTCATTAGCGCATGCACGGTAGGTTCTCTACAAAACGTTAACCTGGAAAGTTTCTTTATTAGAGGTTAATTGAATCTGATTTCCGCTAAAGTATGGCTTTCTATCTCCTCCCTCGGGACTTTTCCCCTGCAGTCGCCCTCTCGCAAATTCAACTCTACACAAACTCCGGTAGCATTTTTTATTGCGCAGTAAGCGTAACGCAAAAGAGTCAAATGGGTCGTCGAGTCACACTTTTTGTTGATTAAATTGCACCTAGACCTTGCTCTCGCTTTCTCACTATTTTTTGTGATGAATCTCACTAGACACGCAAGAGATGCTCCAGACCTCTGGGTGTATGTGCCAACGATATCTAAAAATGGAAACAAGAAGAGATCTTTTTGTTTTTGAGAGCAAACAAGATGACTTTGAGTTGTTTAAAGATGCGGGGAAATTAAAATTAATTTTTCAGGTCATGGTGTTTGCTGCGGTGAATGACATATTGGGTTACTGGCCATTTGGTCAATTCTACTGTCAGTTCTGGATCAGTTTTGACATTACGACGTGTACGGCTAGCATACTTAATCTTTGTGCAATTTCTCTGGATAGATATTGGCATATTAGTAGACCAATGGTCTATATAAGGTGCTTGAAAATGGAGGGAAGCTATGGTAATTTGAGAATTTAGATACTGTAATCGTCGTCGTATCAACTATGTGATTGTGCTGGTTTGGCTCATCTCTGCTGGCATTGGAGCTGCACCTCTTGGATTTGATTTCGGATCAAAAGTTACTATCAACAGGTTCATATTCGAACATTCAGATCAAATATGGAAAATAGTCTTTCAGTCTGACGGGTCTGCCAGTTTGTGAGATGCGTCTCCCGCTCCCTTATGCTATTTCAAGTTCAATGGTTTCATTTTTCCTTCCCGCAATGGTCATGGTTATCCTTTACACCAAGTTGTACCTTTACGCTCGCAAACATGTGAGAAGCATCAAGACTCAACTGCAACAAGCCACCTCATTTCTGATTATGCAGCTTGCGTCCGAGAAAATTCGCGAGGTAGGAGACTATGGTTATTTTTTTTAGAAGCTCCAAGCAGAATATAGTGCTACATATATAGCAAACTTTTCCTCTCTTCAAAACTGCCTGAGTTTGAAGAAAGTTTTTTTTGCATTTCTTTATTTTCAATATTCTGCTCGATGACATTTCATAAAAAGTGTATACAGGAGAGCCCTATCCCTCTAACACGTTTTCGCGAATCTTCTTACATTGAATCCCTTTTTGGTTTTGCTTAACTCTAACCATTAACAAAGCTAGCTTACTAGAAATAGAATTACCGCTTTTCGGGGCCAGTTTTTTGAATACCATTTTTTTTTGAATTCCATTAAAAAGTTTTCATTTAAACATGTTTAGTGTTGGTCGCCTACAGCCTAAACCCCTTTTGAGTTCTTTTCAACTATTTTCCAAATCCTTTCTTTCTAGAATGAACATTCTCCCCCCAGTTTTTTCTACCAACCCTATTATCTTCCTCTCCTGCATGCTTGTCCGCATGGCGTATCATCGTGCTTACCCAGGTAACGGCCGCAACTCTGAAGGGTGAAGCTCTACTGCCTCCCGACTCGCCGGCTACTGAACGGACTACGATGACTGTCTCCCGCCACTACTCTCGTCGATCGACAACGACAACAACGGCGACGCCGCGACGTGGAGACAATAAAACTAGTTCGCAGAATAAGGTCGAATCAGTAAGTTGTGTAGAAAACCAACATTCTTTCCCCCTTATACCTTAACTGTCTACTATTTCGATTTTCCCTACTATGATATCCTAACACATCCCTCTGCGACTTCATGTTCTATCAACACACTGGCACGGTTTCATTTGCGTTTTTAATCTCAAACCAGTTCAGTTTTTCTTTCATTATTTCGATTTTTGAATCACAACGAAAGCAAACCAGTGACCAAGAAAAACGAGTGAATTTGAATTTGCAGTGATGTGTATACTTATGTTGATATTTTGTTAAACCCCCACTGATTAGGACTCTCATCTATCCGTAGTTCACTCTTCAGAAAAATTATCTATAGAAAAAATCTATCAATCACTCTGAAAAAAGCATTGATATTGCTCGTCTCAGCTACACTAATCAAGCTTTTTTAGGCTTTTTTGCTCTTTGGTTTTTTAAAATGAGCGCTTTGACATTACGCAGTTTTGATAAATTTTAAATGGATATTTCTGTCAAAGTGTTCATTTTAAACCGCTTACGCACTTTGCTATTGTGACTAACTGTTCCGGAACCCAAACAATTTCAGATTCGCTCTTCAATTTTCTCAAAACTCAATTTCTTGTGTCCGGCGAGATTCAAGAACCAACGCTCCCCGCAGGATCCTCATACACCCGCAGCACACAACCGTTCAAACATTAGTGATCAGAAAGCTCGGTAAGAGAGAGAATAGAGTACGAATCGTCTCGAAAAACGGAATGTCTCATTTTTCAGCCTTACTCTCGGAGTTATTATGGGCACTTTTCTTGTCTGCTGGCTTCCTTTCTTTACCGTCAACATCCTCCGAGCTTGGCTTCCAGAGATTTTCAGCTCGAAGACTATTATGGTGGGTGTAACACTGGGTTTCAATTGTGCACCATTGGATATTTCAGGCAGTTACGTGGCTCGGCTATGCAAACTCTTCTGCCAACCCATTAATATACAGTATTTTCAACAGAGACTTCAGGCGAGCATTCAAGAAAATTATCGTCAAAGTCATTGGATGTTGTTGGGAAGAGCCTGATCTTAACAAGTCAATGTAAGAAGTGTTACCGTAACCCTGGAAATACATCATCTTTTAGCTCCTCAAGATATGCTGCGCCGGACCAAATTGAGCGTCGTCGTTCGTGTACGAGATCCTCGGAATCGGCTCATGACAACAATAATGATGCAAATGCGACTCGTCTAAATCTCCTGTCTAATAACAACGAGCCAACTATTCCTGAATAATTTCTCATAAATAGCAACGTCACCCATCCTGACAGCCATATAAAATCTCATATCCAACGGGGTTTCTTTTTCAAATTGGTCTCATTTTTTGTTTTTTACAGTCGTCTCTTTAATTCTATCCCTGTGGCTCTGCTCGATTTTCAATCAACGGGAATTGAATAATTTTGTGTCAAATTTTGATATGGTTTGATAATTTCTTCTTCTTATTCATTTTTTTGCTTTGCAGTTTTGTGAGATAGTTTTTTGAGATAAATATTTGTGCTTATATTAAGTAAAAATAATAATTTTAAAAAAAACCTTTATAGCCCCACCGTGAGTTTACAGGGGTCATTAATTATACAAAAATTATCTTAGAAAAAAAATGATTGAGGATTTTCGAAAGCTGCCTCGACACGAAAAATCAAATAAAAAACCAAGGTACAGATCAATTTTTTCTAATTGTCAAACACGAAGCATGGATAACAAGGCAAAACTACATCGAATTCAACATCTGTTCCAAAACTCAATTCACTGTTTTTTTCAATGCAGGAATTATTAGGGTATTAACTATCGTTGAATTTCCTCATTGGTTTTCCGTGGCTCCTCGTGTTTTAGGTGACCTTTAATTTCAGATTTCAGTCCGGCCACACTAAATATGTAGGTTTTTTTGAATTTCTGTTCAAACTATGAACGCATTTCATCAGTATTCGTGAACGATGAATTTTTGTACAAAATGCTCTGCATCGGTTCCTCAAAAGTTCATTCTAATTTCAAACTTGGTTTTTACACTAGACGATTTTTTCACGGTCCTCTTTTTTTATATGATTTTCATTACGAATATGATTTCGATTTCTTATTTTTCTGTAACTAAAATTCAATTCTGCAAAATATCAGATTCAATATGATCTTTCAAGCTTCATGTATGTTAATTTCTTGAATTATTATAAAATGCTGGACATCTTTGCAAACTTTTCAATTTGATTTCAAGATTTATTACATTCTCAAATAATTTTTTGAATGAGATTTTTTTTCGGTAGTTTTGCATCAAATTGTTATAACTAAAATCCCAGGAATTTTATCATTTGAATAATCAAAATTTTGCCTCAAGTTGACTTTCATCAAACAATTTCAGAAAATTTCGAATATCTAATTTATAATGTCAAGTTAGATCGTTTGAAAGTGAGTTTAAAACAACCTTCAAAAAAATCAACAGACTCTTAGTCTGTTTCAATTCGAATCTCTTTTTGGAATCGGATATACGCGAAGTATGACGTTTGACAAACTTTGTTGCTTTTGTTCAATGTTTTTTCTTTCAATCACTATCTTTCAGAATCTCGTTTTTCGACAACATGCCAAAGTGATATTTTACCATCAATAGATTTATTCCATGTTTTTCAAAAGTCCGAGATTCCGAGGTTTGCACGTTACTGCTCGAAAATCTTTTCCAGAAATTCTACATTTTACATCTTCCAAACAATTTGTTATTTTTCAACTTTTGACCTTTTTTTACGCACAAGACTTTTTCTTCCAAAATTGCTTAGACTTTTTAAATAGAACCATGTTTAAATATAGGACGTCACGTTTTTCTCTTTTGTTAAAGCTGTGTGTGGGAGAACCGATAATAACCTGCAGTCTTTGCTCTTTTTTCAGTTCTTTCCCCTCTTTTATATTCACCCAAAAAACATTTTAAATCATTCGGAAAATACTGGAAAGCTGGAAATTCGAAGAATGACAATCTAGTTTGTATGCAACTGGAACGGAAGTGTGTTCTATTGCTTCTTCTCATTCAATCCGTCTCTTCTCTTAATTGGTTCATGTAGAGCCGCTTGTCTCGTTTTTTTTCTTCCATCAAAACATTTATTTCTAACGTTGAAAACAGATATCAATATCAGTTGAAATTTGAGAGGAAGCGAACAAGCAAATAAGATAGGAAGCATACAATAGAAATGCATCTGGAGTGTTTTTCATAGACCGGGTAAAGTACACTACTTTCAGATTTCACAAAACAATTGAATGCTGGCTGATAGCGGAAAACATGAGAACCCAAAAAGTGTGAGAAGCTGGGAAGCAGAGAAAGAATAAACATAATAAATACAAATGAAAATCACTGTAAAATTTGTGATAGAAGGGTCCTAACTTTTAACTTCAAGCTAATTTTCCTCAGTTCCTGTCAAAGATACCAAAAAGTGGTTAACTGATGAACTGTTTATCAAAATATCTGAAGTAATTTGTCAGTTGACACATTTCCGTTATCTTGCGTAGAGCCAAGAAAAATCAGCTCAAAATTGAAAGTGTGGGAGTCTTTCTATTACTGGCTTTACGGTAAGGAGGTAACAAATTATGTATAAGCAATTGGATTTAAACATCGACTCTTTCCATTTTCAGAAGATTATCGTCATCGATTTTTTTACCGCTATCTCCTCGAGCATACCTCATTAGAGGAGTATTCTTGATAAGAACCCTGAAACAGTGACTGTAAAGAAACATTATATTAAAGAACTAGAATGTTCCTCACTTTATCTCCCTGTTGTACTTGTAGTAGATAAAAATCCGTACTGCTGAAGAGAACACGAACATGTTGGATCCAACGTCGCACGAAATCACATACCACGGCTTGAATCCCCCATTTCCATCCTGCAAATTTTCACTCCGTTTTTATATTTTACTCTACTTGTGTCTGTGTTTTTTTTTCTGTCTGACTCGGCGTGTGCAGAAGCAATGAATACACTAAGCTCTTATGATGAATGTTTTAGTTACTAAGTCCCTTTGCTCGCCACTGGTCAGTCTTGGTAAATTGTGACACTTACCAAAATTATTTCAGATTTGAAATTTTCAATGATGTACAGCACGAAATTGCACAGGTTGCACACCAGATACGCGGAAATAATGACTGCTGTTGTTTCTGTGGCACACTTGATTTTGAATTGTTGCTCGCGAATTTCCAAAGCAGCTTGATTTCGAGCAGATGAAGACTGTAATTGCTATTTTTATTGAATGCAAAAAAAAAATTGAACGCAACAGATGGGAGGGCTAAAAACACGGTTTTGAAGCAAAAGACGGGGGATTGGGTCAATGGGAATTGAAGCGAGAAAAATAATTAAAAGAGATAGAAGTATCAGCCTTCAAAGATAAAACCAAACAAAGCGTATATTCTTGTTTTGCGGAAACACTGTACTGTGGACTAGGAAATGACCAAATATCACGACTATCTAGAAAAAAAATATCACGACTATCTATGTATTTCAGTTCTCAATTGGAGTTCCAATTGGAGTTTTTTCAGTTCTCAATTGGAGTTTCGGTCATTTCCTAGAATTTTTGTGGCGGCTTTCCCAATCAATCTCAATACTATTCGAAATTGAAGTTTTAAAAATTGTGTATTAAAATAATTAGATTCGTTGAGATTTTTGGAAGCCGTGTGGAGGAGTGGTCTATGAAAATGTTGTTTCTAATGCATCTAAAACATTAAAAAATCTACAATGGTTACCTCCTCCTCGGGTGGAGGAATCGCCCTATCCGTCTCGTTTTCTTCATTCATATTTTTATGGATTTCAGAAGTTCCAGCCCTACGATGTATAGTTTCTTGAGTTTTAGAGGGGCCGGCTTTTTGACTATCAGATGCTCCGGCCTTCTCAGGATCAGCTTCCGATGATTTAGAGGTTCCGGTCATCTGAACTTTGGCTTCTTGTGTTTCAGAAGGTCCAGCTTCTGGATTATGGACATAAGAAGATAGCAAAGTTTCAGCTTCTTGATCTATATACTCTTGTATTTCAGAAATTTCGGAATATTGGGCCTCCTGATTTATTGCCTCTCGAATTTCGGGGGAATGATTCTTCTGCACTGCAGCATCGCGGGTAAATGAGGTTTCAACCTCTCGAGTCTCATCTTCTTCGGTTGAAGACTTTTCAGCCTCTCGGGATTCAGACGTTTTGTTGCCGGCTTCATCATTCCCCTGGTGGAAACAATGTTTTAGTTTTATCCAATTTTGTTCTCGGTCCTATCAAGTTCATTAGATGCTAGAGTTCCATTTGAGAGTGTCCCCCAAGGATGCATGTTTTTTCGCTTGTTTTTTTTTTGTTTCCTGTCCTCACAAGAAATGTTTCTGTTGATTAAATTACGGTTCCTACCCACTCAAATAGGTTTGCCCTTGAGCAAAAATCTGTTTTTTTTTCTTTCTTCTTTTTTTCTCGTCCCATTTTCTTTGTTTCCCTAAGCCTCCTATAAAATCATCAACTAATTTTTGAGAACTTTAGAAAAATTTTTCATATTTTACCGTGCGCCTGTTCCTCTTCTTACTAGTATGAAAATAGTCTAACCAGGGAAGGAAAGAAAAAAAATAGGAAAAACAGAAGGAAAGCTGTTTTCACAAAATATCATTCATCTGGCTTAACGAAGTACCCGATTTTCAAGTGTTTGCGTGGTAGAGTTGCCGACTGGCGTCAAGACCGTAATTGATTTAGATCCCAGAAAATTTCTGAAGTATACCGAAAACAATTGAGCCGGCGAAGTGGACTGGCGGCGCGTCCTGCGATGCTGCGTACGAAGTTTGTACACCACGTAAATGTTACAGAAAAGAAGAAGAAGGAAGGAGAAGATGGTGTGAACAAACTGAAATGGAAGATTTCTTAGCTGAGACTGAATTGAACAAACTTACAGTTAAATTATGTTCGAAATCTTTCCATCGGATCACTTCTTCAGCATCGGAGCTAAGCCATTTTCTATGGAAATATTCGCAAAGTGGCTCGACGTGAATGAAAAACATTTTGAAACAGTTCAACCGTAATGCCGTCATTGTTCCAAACAGTGTCATGATGATCCCGATGCGAACATACAAAGAGAATCTGAAAATTGAAAGCATAGAGTGATGGAAACAGATTTTATTAAGTGCAACTGACAGCTGTCGCCGTTAGAGCTCAACTGACATTAAAGCTCAACTGATTGTCATGTGAATCATTGGAATTAAAATTTAGCCCTTCTACAGTAATAACACAATTTTCAATAAATCACTATGAATCCATTTTTTAGAGTTACTAGGTACCAACTTTCTTGGAAACACTCTTTGTTTCTTTTCTTAGAATCCCAAACAACCATTCATTACTGATGCCAAAGAACAGAGTTTAATGGGATAAAGGCTGTGCACTTTACAACGGTACTTGTGAACCCAGATTCTGATGAAATTTTCAAGATATGTTGAAAATAGCCTATCTGAAAACCTCTAAAAGTTTCAGAATACGCTCGTCAGTTTCTGCATTTTCATGAAAATCTGAATTCAGAAAATGATGATGTTCCCTTAAAAAATATTTTTTTGATACAAACCTGCTCTCACAATCGTATCCCAGGATCATAGTCAGTTTTTCGAGAGAATTGGCAATAAGGGTATATGGAATGGACAATTGGACGACACGACTCATAACCAATGACATCACATTGGTGTCCATTACAAAATCGTATAGGAAAGCTGAAAATGGAAACTTCGAAATCTATCAAACGACTATAAACTCACGAATTTTGTATTCAACCGATATGGAGAGCAGTCCAAAGGAGTGAATGTAAAGTGCACATAACATGAAGTCGAGAAACGCCAGGAATGTTTGGAACGGGTAGGATTTTTCTGTTTTTGATAGAAACATGAAGAGAAGTATCCCGTTTGAAGCGCATCCCAGGATTGATAGACAAGATCCGATGCTGAAAATGTTTGTTTTTATATTTTTTGGGGATTTTTCATTAATAAAAATTAATGCAAACAAAAATTCCAATCAAGTCTGTTTATGTGACTCGTCTCACATTTAATTTTATTCCATTCCATCCTGTTCACAAAAAACACATAGGAATCCAGAACTTTTTGTGTTTATGCAATTCTCTTTCCGCCTTAATGGATGTTTTCCTCTACCCTCGTTTTGTCATTCCCGCTCAAAAAAAGATTGAAAGGTTCCGTCATTGTCACGATGCATACGTATACGTTTTTGTCAAAGTATTAGCGGTTTGAAGACAAGAGAGGACCTTTTTTGGAAAGGGAGGAAGAGCAAGAGGATTTAAAAGTGACGACTCAAAGTGTTCTTCACTATTTGCTGTTTTCTTTTCTTTTTTTTCGATGTCACGTGTGATATCGTCTGGGGCAAAACACGAATTGGAAGATTCATCAAAAAAAACTCTAGGTCAAAAGAGCAGAAAGATTATTCGAGAAGAGACTGAGAGCATTTTACAGTTCAGATCCTGAAACGTTTCAATGGGAAAGTAGAAATGACGTGTTTTCTCACGACCACGTCTTTTCTGCCTTTTCAAGAACTTTTGAACTCATTCCCTCTTCAGAAATCTTCTTCAATCTCCGTTTGAATGATTCACAGACAGTCGAAAAGTTTGAAAACAGATGTACCCGAAGATTTCAAACTCTGCAGCTCAACACGAAAAGTTCTAGAATATTCAAAAGATCATAAATTGTGTGTTTTAGTGGTTACGAAGTTGGTCCCCAAAGAGTTCCCGATGAGTAACCTAAGAAACCCTATGACATTTTTCTCTCTTCTTTCCAATCTAAATGTTGCAAATTGATTTGTTCCATTTTCTGTTTCGGACCTGTCGCTCATTGATCCCATCGGAAAAGGAGGCACAAAACATTTCCTTCCTCTCAAAATTTTTTTCTCGACCAATGTGTGCTCCTCCTTTGAATGACCGAATTCTTCATTTGATGGTGCACTTCGCATTTGCATATAATTAAACTTTGTCCGGTGCCCCTCACATCTCTCACATGTAACAGCTAGACATGAAAAAAACTCAGGAAACAGCACGGAAGAGTTCGCTTATCTCTCAACATGATTTCCGCGCCCGGAAATTGCTTCTCGACAAAAAATATAGTTTTTCCGGATTAAGATTTGCCTGTGGGACTAAAGGTTTATCGCTCCGCAACTTTTTTTTTCTTCCCCCATAAATTTTGTACACGTATTTCATACGTATCCAGACATTTTCGTGTCGCCAGGAATGGGATACAAACAAAGGATAACTAATTTCCCGTTCCTTTTGTGACCCCTGGTGGATATAGAGATGGATTAGTTTTTGATTTTGAAATGAGTCCCCACAGACACTGGCAAAGGAGAAAAGAATATGAAACTGCGCGAAAAAAGTTATCAAAGGAGTTGATCAGTCAGATACATATATACTTCTCGCGTGATGTGTTTTTTGCAGACAAACAACGAAAAAGAGAACCCGAGATCTTTTAAAAAGTACATCGGGAACATAAAAAACTCTTTTTATTGGCTCACCTGATGAAAGCAATTCGCAATTCAGAGACATCTTCGCAAGCGGAAGCATTGAAGGTGTCATTGATCGATAAATTGAAAATCGGACTAGTACCCAATGGTGGATCCATCATTTGGACGAAGGAGACAGCACTCAGAGGACAAAATGAACACCTTGAAATAGGCCGAAAAATTTAGAATTTAATGGAAATCTGTCAAAGCGGGGTACCCGATTTGGGTTCGAGAATAATTGGTGAGTCCGTTTTTCTCTTTGTGACCTATAATTTTGAAAAAAAAAAAACAAAAATTGGGATGAATCAATTCTAAAAATAGAAGTGTGAAAAAAAGAGAGGGTGGAAACAAATCTGGAGAGGAGGATTACTTACAGATGCTGAAAATCTCATGAATACAAAAAGAGGTAGAGATTAGGAAGACCAGAAACTAAATGACGTAGGTTGAGTTCGTGAAAAAACCTAATCAAATTATGAAAATGAAGGTACTATTCGGAAGATGGATGGATAAAGAAAAGAAGAAAAAAATCAAGTGACTAAAAATAGAGAACGCCGGAAAAAATAGGAAAAGGGTGCAGTTAAATTATGCTATTTTTTCTGGATCAGCTCTTGCTACAGTATCCCAATCTCTTGACGTGGAAAAACAGAGAGAAGGAAACGTTCAAGAGTCTTGTCCGCCAGACCCGGTCTGTGCGTTTTGGGCGAAAAAGCTCTGTGGAGCAACACTGAGCCGCCATCTGGTAGGCGTGGTCTAGGAAGCGGAGGGCCCGGCGGGCAGAAAAAAACTTGCCATGACTAGGCGGTGCTTCGTTTGGTTTTAACGAAGATTTCAAGAAATGAAAATGGGACCACGATGGCTTCTAATGAATATTCGTTATAGACAAAAAATAAGATGTAAATTAAAAGTGAGAGGATATTTTTTGGTTTGGATGTCTAAATCAAATCCTTGATATGTAATCGAAAAACATTCTCAACAGCAACTATTTTTTCCGGTTTTGTTGAAGATAATGTGTTGATTGAATCACTCAAATACTAAATGAGCCACTAATCTGGGAGTATTTGGGGTGTTTTTCTGAAACAGGAATCAGAGAATCCAGAAAAACAAACTGGAAACTTCCGATGAGAAGTCTGAACTAGAAACGAATAGAGACTTGTTTTCTTAATTAGATTCCTCTAAAAGAAAAAGGCAAATAGAACCATACTTGGTCCAGCTTATTCGTGCTTGTTTCAAAATAAGATTTTCTATTAATTGCAGTGTTTCAGACTACGGATCGTTTTTCAGAAGTATTAAAGTCTACAAATCACTAGGGTACAATTTCAAAAAAGTTTTAAAACGAATTAAAAAATTTCACCAGTGGTCCTTATAAATGCAAAGGTTCCCAAAACTAGAGTATTCGTGTATTTCCCATTCATTCTTCACTTCATACCAAAAAACGTTTTGAAAAGGGGTACACCAATTTATAGAACTCAGAATTGACTTCAGGAGTCAGAACAGGTGGGCGGACTATTGGTACAATAATCTTAAGGACTTCAAAAAATGAGGAAGGAGCTTAAATCGGATTCCTGCCCACACGATGAGAGTTCGAAAAAAAGCTTGGTTTGAATTTCCTTAAAGTCAGTGAGAGCTTTCATAATGAAATATGCGCTTGGTTCGAGAAATGGGGCCATTATACTTAAAGTGGATCATTTTAGTCTTAGCGAAGGGGCGTTTTGCAAATCCTTACTCAGTTAGCAATAAATTTGATGAACTAAGTCACGGATTCGTCAGAAGCCAATATGACGTTACAAAAGAAAAAAACTGAAATATTATCGTAAATCATCTGTAACGTGGCTTAGGAAATCCTGTCCGTTTTCGTTGAAACATGGACTGTAGTTCTCAGAAACAAAACCAAATAGATTATTCCAGGAATCTTGTTCAAACAAATAATGGGAAAAGGCGACAAAAAAAACATCTGGTCGCTGATAATTCTTTTAGGATCAGTTTGGTCCACAGAAGAAAAAAAACTGAAATACAACCGTGAACAATTGAGATGTGGCTTAAAAATACATCTCAGTTTCTTTCGAAACTTTTTTGTGATTCTCAGGAAATCAAAAAAAAAACAATAGATTTGTCCGGGAATCTATGTCAGACAAAAAATGCGCGAAAGGCCAAAAAAACAACTGGTCACAGATAATTCTCTTAGATTTAGTTTTCCGGAATTGCAACGGGAAAATTTCTTCTCCCCAAAGTAGCTACTTGTAGGTTCAAAGAAGAGCTGGTGGGAAAAAAAAAGAAAAGAATACAAAAAAAACAAAAAAAAATCGTTAGTTCTAATGAAGATTAAAGAAGTCTAAGGAGATTGCTGGTCTATCGAGTTCTATTTGTTCGTATTGATGAAAAAAGTAGGAAGAATTGAGTGAATTTTTTCTGATTTTCAATATAGACTACATTCAAAGCAATTGAAACGGATATTGGTGCATTTCTCGGTTAGTTTTCGGTCGATTAATTTGAATTGGGTTTAATTTTTATTTACGCACTTTAAAACTAGATTCAATCAATGAATTTGAAATGATAGGTGACACGTGATGTCCCAAAATTTGATTAGCTTTTTTCTGGCACAAGCACAGAGGGTCCGAATTTAATTACTAGCGTGGTGCCATTATTACTAGAATAATCGAATAATTTCACACTAACGTTACGATGAATTTTGAGTGACGGTTTGTGTTCTTCTTGAACAACGAAGGTGGAAGTGGAAAACGAAGTGTTCTCCGGATGCTCGAAAACGGATAGGGGTGGGATGTGAGCTTTGAGATTATTAGTAGTGAGAAAAAAATGCTGGAGAGAGAAAACCCCAATAACAATTTTGAAGAGTTGCAGTGAAAAGAATGAAGAGTGTTTGAAAAAGTCATTCAATGGCATTTAATTATTTTTCATTTCTAGTTAGAACGATCATTCTTTGTTTTTTTCAGATGAATCAATTTTTCCTCATTTTTTAAAAATTAAAAGAAAAATGTTTAGTAGTTAAATGTTCTTTTTCAGGTGGGTTTTGAAAAAAAAATTTTAAAATCTGCCAAGTGTCCTATTTATGCTCAAAAATTAGTCTTTCGCCTTTTCACGGCTCGTTGAGCCAAAAAGGTGAATGAAGGTGTCAAATCGTCATTTCTAAGGAATTTATGCTTCTGACTTTTTCCAGAAGTTGAGAAAACATTTTTTTCTTGTGAAGGGATTCGCGAAAAAAAAACAGATTTCAATTTTTTGAAAAAGACAGATAAAAAGTTATTTGCTTAAAATTTGAATTCAGTTGTATTTTGTTTTTGTTATTGAAAATTCCGAGTTTCAAAACTTTGGAATTTTGGGAATTCGGAATCCCACTTTCTAATCACAAAAAGGCAAACAATTGATTAATAGATTTTGAAATTCGAAAAAAGCATAATGTAATTCTTCTCGAGGACAGCGCAGAGATTCGGTTTGCTTTTGGCATATCGTAGTCCAAAAAGTTCCCATTCCGGAAAAGTAGGTTGGCAATATTCTGATATTCAGATTTTTTCGAAATCATTCTCGTCGGAATGTCAATCCGAAAATTTTGGAATTTTCGGAACTCCAAAACCCGTTTCGAACATTCTTGATTTTACAATTTGTTGAACAACAATTTGAAATTTTAAACTATCATATATCGAGATTAAAAAATCAAGAAAAAATGTCAAAAGTAAACAAAACTTTTCCGGGACTATTTTTAACCTCCCAGGTGTGCCAACAAATTGTCTGTTTTATTGTATAAATTATGACTTCCAAGGGCGGTTTAATTGATTTTTACAAACAATGCTCACAATAAAACTGGCATTGAGCACGTCATAAAAACTGGAGCCATAAATTATCTCCATACAGAAAAGGAGAAACAAGATAGACAGAAAAGGGAAACATGTTCATTCGATTAGTTCATCTCACTAATCCATCAAAGAAACTCTTTTCTCATTTTTTAGATTATTGATCATCATATCCGATGTTTCGTTTCTCTTGAATTTTCAGCTGCGTGGTGTTTGAAATGAAACAGATATGCAAATATTTGGAGTTTGAAGATATCTACGTAATAGGTTTCTCCTTAGACATGAATTTGATTTTATCAAATTGCAGCTGCAGTATCGAACTATACAATTTCAAGTTTATTCGATTGAGCACTGTCAAAGTTCAAAATTTTCGAATAAATCCAAAGAAACATTTTATTTCTATTAACGTACTCTGACAGCCAATGCATCTCGCTAACTAACGCAGAAAACCAAGCGCTGATTTTCAGATAAATGAAAGTTTATAAGGCCAATAGATGGACGGATGCTGAGCTAACGTGTCCGTATGTTTCAAGCGCAATTAGTGTCACTGGGCAGATGAGAAAACAAGAGAAAAACAGAAAAGAGAAAAAGGAAGCGGTCAGTTGAACGAGTATGTTTCTAGTAAGAGAAAGGATTAGTTGCTGTTTGTTTTAGAACGTGTGCGTGAATCTATCTACAAAGATTAGATGAATTGACCGCAAACGTTAGAATGTAGTTGCAAAAGGGGAGCACAATTGTTGTGGGCGGGTTTCTTTAGAACAAAAAGAAAGAACAAAGAATAACAGCTCCAGGAGAAGTCGAGAAAATGAGAATCTTATGACTTCTCGCTAGTAAAAGTAATAGTTTTTTTTTGGAAAAGTTTTGAAAAAAGGAAGTTCTAAATTTTTGGGGAAAAGAGTATAAGATCAATCGAAATGCGATACTATTTGATGATGATAGGAGAATCATCTTGAAAGGAGTCAGAAATTATTTTGGACAATTTTCATGAACATTGAAAATATATATCAAATTCCAAGTGCAATCGAAGACGGATTGTGTGTTCTCAAAAACTTTTCTTCATAAATTCAAATCGAAAATTTAAAAATTTTATTGGAAATCAGTTTTGAACTGGAATGTATCTTCTGTATGTAGTTCAAACTACCAATTTTTATGATTGAAGGGTGATAATATAGGATATATGTGGATCGACGAAAACTGCATCTAATCTTCGAAAAACTATAAATAGAACCTCGAACTGTGTTAGCACTATTCATAAGAAATTCATATATAGAAGGGACTTTTTGAGTGTAAAACTGCAACCAACTTTTTGACCAACCCTTTGTCATTTTTCGAACAGTCAAATGATTATTTCTTTACCGATAGAAGGACACGTCTAATAGAAGGGCCCTCCGAGAGAGTCTCGGGAAAAGTAGAACCCTGTAACAGAAGTCCTCTTTTCAAATATGTGCTTTGAGGTGGAAATCCTTATGTTTTCAGGAAAATATTTTTTTAGAAGTTTCATAAACAGAAGGGGGTATTCTAATTGACGGGAGTTTGTAATAGAATAGCACTTCGGAGGTACCTTGAAACATAAGAAGAGTCGCTCCTTCTTAACGGTAATTATACTTGCAAAATGCTATATTTCAAAAATTAGTATTCCGAAAATTGATCATTTTTTTCCAAAATAGATTTTTGGATGCCGAAACAAAGGGCCACTACTCAATGTTGATGAAAACAATGTGAAAGAGAGAGAGCCGGTGAGAACCATAAACCTGAGATGTGTACTACTATAAAACCTCGATAAAAAATTTGATCGAGAAGGGTGTCCAACGGCCCCAATACCAAGTATACATATAGGAATTATTCAGTTTTCGAGAAGTCAGCTGTATTTTTTCTTAGAGTTTCGCAGGAATTGCGAAAACAGCTTAAACACGAACGAAACCCATCACAAGAGAAGGCAATTTACCAAAAAGTTTAGAGACGTGACAGAATAAATGACAAAACGAGCAAAAAAAAAGTCTGGAATCTTTCAAGCGGACAGAAGAAAATGGCTTATTGTGTGGTCGAGTGGTACTCTACTTCCCGTTGCTCCTGTCTAATAAAAAAACAGAAAAATGATCAAACCGGGCTACTTGAAACGTTGAGGAACTAGATGAGAGCACTTACTCGAGATCCACTCAATCAAAAACGTTTCATCAAACTTTTTGCGCCTAACACAAAAGAATCGTGTCATAAAATTTATCTGTCACGTCATTAAAATTTTGCAAAGCATTTTTTCAAATTATCTCGCTTCTGTGAGAAAAGATGAAAGAGAAAATACTAGGAAACGGAAAAAAAACGTGAAAGTTTGTTTTAAAAAAAGTAGTAGGATAATTCAATTTACATCAATGACGAAGAGACGACTAATTCTCACTTTGTCTTTTTGTCCCTATCCATTCCTTTAGTTTGATTAGCTTTAGATACGTGCAAATCAGGTTCACCCAATTCGATTTTGCAGCAAATGTGTAAAAAAAACAGATGAAAAAAAAAGAACAAAGTTAAAGCACAGAGAAGAGTGTGTATGTTGTAGTTGAACTTCTTCAGAATGTCAACTTCAGAAGTATTTCGATTAGAATATAGAGAGAATTGATCAATAATGATCCAAATTGAAGTTTCAGATCAACGATGAAACACTCAAAAAAGTGGAATTCAGAAGGAGTGAAAGACTGAGAACATTCACACATCTAAGCTAATCTAGTGAATTTTCGAAAAATAGTTTTTTGAGAATCGAAACAAGCGCAAGAGCACAAAAGTGTGGCTGTTTTGTTATTCAGTTAATCGGAACAGCAAAAAGGTCAACTTTGACTTACTATTCATTCACTTATTCTTATTTTCGAGAACATTACTTTATTTGCCGCCCACACTAATTCTTTGAACTTCCCCCGGAAACGGCAATTCCTCGCTATACCAAACAACGAACAAAAAATATGTTGTTGAAAAACATCTTGACTTCATACACACTGCGTCTTCATTCCGAACACCAAACATGTTTTGGCTTCATTTAGCTTTACATGTTCATGAGTGTGAGGGGGTATAGCTCAGGGGTAGAGCGCTCGCTTTGCATGCGAGAAGTCTGGGGTTCGATTCCCCATACCTCCAGAAAACGTTTTGGAGACTTTTTTCAGGATTAGGAATTTTTTCTGTTCATTATCATAAGAATATTAAAAAAGACAACGACATGAAACTTGTGAACCCCCGAATAATAGGAGAAAAATCTAATTCAAGAAAAAAAATCTAACTCTGGAAAAAAACTGAACTCGCCACAGTTTGTTTGATAGGGCTCAAATAATTTATTGTGAAACTTGCAATAGGGGGCCCTCCCAAAACGCCCACTTCGACCAACATTTCTGTTGTGTTACTTATTAAAAATGTTTAGATACTAAAAGTTTTTGGATATCATTGTATTTTTTTGGCCACGCCCCAATTTCCCAAATGAGGGATTACTGGGAAGTCCAGATTGGAGCCCAGAGCACTGGAAGTCTCACATTCAGATTAGGAAGCTTTGAACGCGGCATTAGTTTACCTTTTCTGAGTATGCTTTCTTTTTGTGTGTAGCTTACATTTTTTGATGGGGTCAAATTTAACACATGGTTTTCTTTAATAAGTACTGAGACTGGACTGTAAAAAAATAGAGTTCCTAAAAAGTTAAATAAGAAAATAAAAATGAAAGTGAGAAAATGGAAAATTACTGAATTCTAACTCAAGAAAACTTCTATTAACCAGTTTTACAAAAACACGGAAATCACGAAAAACAAGAGTTCTGTCATTATTTTTGGACGATGGAGAAATTTTTGAATCCGGAAATGGGTGCGACTTCTGAATTTTAATCCGCTTCATTTTCACGTTATCAATACATATTTTGTCTATGTATTAGTCAATGTAAAATGTATTCATTTCCACTAGTTTTGTTCGGATATATTGTTGAATCCGGAACAAGTGACCAGTTTGATAAAGTGATTTCTGAAATTTTCAACCTTCCCTTCCACAGACCAGAAACGGGTCAATATTCTGATAAACCAAGCATTCAAAGCTGTTGAAATTTTATTTATTATGCTACAAAGATAATAAATAGACGCATCGAATTGCAGACCTAGAAAAGTGGAATGTGTTAGAGGACACATGAAAATTAAGCAGAATGCTAAATAAAATAAATTATAATAATATAAATAAATTTGGGTTAGGGAAATATTGCTGCTCAAAAAATAACGGGGATTTTAAGACAGTTTGAAGTGAAGTTATTTTGACGAGAAAATGTGAATTGGTGAGAAACGGGCTCAAAACTAATCTACTTGTGGAGGAGTGGATCGTTTTGATTCTTGGCACAGAAAATGCATTTTTTTGAAGTTGTTGGTAGAAATTTGATTCAGGTTACAGGTATGGGTTTCTTTACTACAAGAGCATGCAAAAGTTAGATTTCTGTAAGAGAAACAAAAAGGTCTAGGAACTAATGATTAAATAAATAAATAAATAAAATTAGGTTGAAAAATCCTACAAGCCGAGAGAAATTATGAAAAATGAAGGCAAATAATTTAATGTGGGCGAATAACCGAGAGGTGAGCAAATGACTGACGTGAAGGCGAGCGGAATCAGATGTATAGGGGAATATTCGACTAGCATCGAGTCTCGTACAATCCGGATCTTCCAATGTAGCGGACCCACTTGATCACGTCGTGGTCAGAGTAGTTGAGTTTTGGCTCGAACACCTTCAAGTAGCGCACCTTGAGGCCAGATGGGGCAAATGGAACCTGGAAACTTGATTTTGTTGGTGAATTCAAAAGTTGAAGGATAGTTACCTCGAAGTTCATGCTGACCGGTGGGCGATTCCATTTCTTCTTCTCAACGTTACCAGTGGAGAGGAGGTCAATTTCGGCCGAAATTTGGCTTTCCTTCATTCCAGCCATACGCTTGATCCTGAAAATTACGAGTAAATATAGAGTGTGTGAAAGATCAATGTTTCATGTGATTTGTGCTTCTATGAGTTGTTGTTAACATGTTTCTTGATCATGGGAAAATTGATTATTGGATGAATTTATACATTCTAGGAAGCTCAGTCAAATGGGATATTTTTAGCTTACTCTTGTAAACTATAAATTTCTTTTTTTCATTTATGCATTCTGAATTTCTAAAATCTCATTCTTTGTTCCAAACTAATTATCATAATAATCGAATGGAATTATTCCTATAAGCATTCTGGACCTGATATTATGCTTTCAAGAGCTGATATTAGGGAAAACGCCAGTTTTTCAATGCTTCCACGTGGGGAGTCAGATTCCAAGTTGGTTTCTCTCATTATACGTACTAATCCCAAACTTTCTGCATTAAAAATGTACCCAGATGCCTAACTAAATTTGGCAATTTTCCAATTCTCAGTCAAAACATGAAATTTGAGATGTATGGTGCTAGAAAAATGCGGTAACTAATTCAATCAAGTTTCTAAAATTAAGTGGTTTTTTTAGTTCAGCTGCCATGCTAGCAATTGCTTCACCCTGTGTGTCATTGATATTTTTGAGAAGTGATCCAAGTTTTCAATTTTCCAAAATTCGTCTCCATCTAGTTTTCTAAATTTTTTCAATTTTCTCTTCTTCCTTTCCGCGTCGCAGAAAAGTTCACTGAAATTCTCAAGCCACTTTCTTAGAGTTCCTCTTCCTATCTTCTTTCTTCTTTTCATACATGTACAGCTTCACGCCTTCACCCTCTAACCCCATAGTTTTCTTTTCCCTCATCGGTTTTCTTCTCTTCCTTAGACACCCCAAAATTGTGCGGGTTTCTTTTCTTTGCGTTTCATCATCCCTCCCAACTCTCGCTTTAATCCTATGTGTATGTGAGAAGACTGTGTGCATGGGCCCCAAAAACGAGACCCTGTCTCTCCCGGATAGACAACTCACTTCCACACAATGGCATTCTCGCCAGCCTTGTACTTGGCTTTTCCCTTCATGCAAATCAGCTGAACGCCGGATGTGTTCGGTGGTGTTGGGATGCGAACTTCAATTTTTTGAGCCAAAAGTGATGGCTTGAAGTTGGACTTGACGACAACCTGAAAGTCGTCACTTTATAGAAAGTGTAGAAGTAGAATGGGGCTACTTTGACTTCCATCTTGTTGCGGGACACCTCACGAACCAATGGGATGACACGGAATGGGAGTTGGATATCCTTGGTTGTGCGGTATCTAAAATAACGGTTGTTGTTGATCTAGGATCCATGAAACCATTCATACCTCATCAACTCGTACTCGCCGTCGGGTGGAATAAACGAGATCGCGTGCTCCGTCTCAAATTTCGTGAGCTTCACGCATTGGTGGAATTGACAGTCATCAATGGCCACAGCGGCACGGCTTCTGCAAATAAATATCCATTACACTCAGGGTGAACCAGATTATCTTCAACTTACGCTTTGTTCGGATCATCGCTTCCTGGTTTGGACTTTCCTTCAATCGTGATCTTATCGTTGATGCCAAACTTGCACTCAGGCATTCCACTCAAGTACGACTTCATGGCAACTTTACCGGCAACGTGAGCGGAGAGGACTTGTCCTGAAAACTTGAAAATTTGATTATCAGGTTGAATCACAGCTGAACTACCTTGCTGATTCATGAGCAGGTTCACATATTCGATGACATCCAGGAAAAGCTCATTACGTCGGTATTTGATACCTTCACGACGCCATCCGATTTGTCCGGTCACTTGAGATGTGATCTGCGACTGCTCCTCTTTGGTCTGCAACAATATAAATCCCTTGAGGAATTGAACATTTTACTTGGAACTAAAAAATATGAAGATTGCACCCTTCCGATATTGGGTTTCTTTTTCCAATAACGGCATTATTTTCAGTCCGCGGCGTCGAGACAAGGAAAAGGGATCAACAAGACGGAAACTAATAAAGAGAATAAGAATCATTTCTCGTGCACACAACGACACAATCCATACACAATATTAAAACTTACCACAGGAACCGGAGCATCCTACAAAAGATAGCCTCATAGTAAATATATGTATTTATGTTGTTGGTTATTCTATATAGGCGGAGAATGGTTAGATATAGAGGGATACAGCCCACGATAGTAGTCTTTTTTTATACATATTCTGTGTTTGATATAGTAAGATCTGTAGTGGAGGATTTATTGGCATTCTGAGACTTTATTGGAGCCCCACTAGTACATCAACCCTCAGTCTGACCCTGAACTCCCTACTCACAGCAGTGCGAACTCCTTGTTGAGTGATGAACGTTTTGAGGACTCCTGGATCCGTGTTCTGTGGATATCCAAAATCGAGAATCTCATCGAGGAGCTCATAAATGAGCACAAAGTTGTTCTTCACGTTCTCTTCATTCAACTTTCCAAAATACGATTGCATCGTGTCGGCGAAGCGCTTCAGAAACTGAAAATTCAAAAATTTTGAGATGTTGACTCGCTGCAACTATTGGTTACCTCGAAAACCATAGCAGCGTTGACGTTTTGACGAGTCACCGCACAAATCCACACATTTCCGCGCTTTACATGGAAGAACGAGGTGCGAGCCATATTCGTAACTGGCGACCGAACTTGCTGCCGAGCATGGATGACATTGACTCGGAAAGCGTCCACGGCGTTTCGGCTGAAAATTGGATTAAATGTTTGTTTTTTCCTGTTTTTGGCTATTTGCAAGTGATCTTTATTAGTTACGAGCGCTGTTGTCACCCCTTTGCTGTATTTTATTTTTATCTTCCAGCGCATCAATAGTGTTATGTTTGATCACAAATAACCACTTTAAAAGCAGAAAAACATCGCTGCGCTTGTATTCTATGTTACTCGCTGCTGCAACAAATCAATACTTACGTGACATCGTCGCGATAGATTCTTGAGATGAGCACTTCTCCTTTGTGATTGTACACAAACAATCCGCCAATCATCCCGAGTTGCTGAAAAAAGTGACTGTTTTCCAAGACGAAAAATACGATGCAACGGTTAGTACGAAGAGAATAAGGTAAAAAAGGAGGAGGTAACAAACAGTAGAGTGTTCCGTTTGGCCATTTGGCCTCCTGCCGACCAAGTTCACCAAAGTCGATAAGGGAGGGCCAAAACTGGTCCGATAGAGCGCCCTTCAAAACCGTCGCTCGCGTTGCGGTCGCGTCGCGTCATGCCTCATCCTCGCCCTTCTCGCACAGAAAGAGAGGCATTTCGTCATATGTTTGCGTAGAGAGTGTGAGGGTGGCGAGAGAAACGAGCGCTCATTTTGGTCGGCCAAAACAGTGAGGGCGAGGGGTGAGTCGTCCCGGTCGACAAGGCCTCCCGCACGGTTCTCTCTTCCTCGCTGCGTCTCTCATTTCTTGTTTCTGGTGTCTCTTCGTTTTACGTTGTGTCTCGCTCGCCCTCCCGTTTTGCTATGCGTTAGCTCGTTAAAATGTTGCAATTGTGTTTAAAAGAGTTTTGTGATTTTTCAAATTAAATTCGTTGTCGTCGTTTTTCCTGCCGTCTTTTTAACGTTATTTTTTTACTAGGGGTTGTCATAACATATATTTTTAAAATTCTTGACAATCAACCTCTTTTTCAAACAGTAACGGCTGGTGCGCGACACAATGTTGACCCATTTTTTCGCGTTTTTACCAAACACTTTTCACTTTGAAAGTTTTTGTAGTGGTATTAGTAGTAGTACGAAATATCTAGAGCTAGTTTTCTCATAAGATGTTGATGAAAATCACTGCGCGCAGGGGATGATATCAAGGGAGAAAAATATATCAGAAAAATTATAAAAAGAAATGACCTAATTCAAAGAGAGATGGATCACCTGACCAAAAAAGGGATATCATATTGTCAGCTATGGCCGTGGTTTCTCCCTACTCGGCCACCGACGTGCACCTGTTCAATACAGGTCTTTAGTCACACTTTTGTCGTCCTTTTGTCGTCGTTCGCCATTCCTCTTCTCTTCCGTTCTCCTCCATTTCCAGTCTTTTCTTTCCTTCAACCCCTTTTGTTACTTCTTCTTCTTCTCGCCTCTTGTTCATTCAGTTTTCACGTGAGACACACTTGAAAAAGCGAATTCTCAATTTTTGTAGGTGTAATTTCTTTAAAGTTTTTTTTTGCTGACGAGACTAACTAGATTTCGACCCACTCTTCTGAGTATCTAGTCACACGAGGATGATCAGTAAAAACCATTTTGATTCCCTGTTTTTCTTTTCTGTTTTTGTGATGTTTCAACTGTTTTGAATATTCAAATCAATCCAACAACAGAAAAAAAAGTCATTAGCACCGTCTCTTTTGAAAAAAAGGCCAAAGAATCGAATAGAGTACGATTCACTGAACGAACGATTATCGTATTAAACGACCCTTCCATCAAAATCCAAAACCCATAGTAACCATTGTAAAATAAAACGAAAAAAAAAACGATTCGCATCGCCAATATCGCTTTTCGGCATTGAAACATAAAACAAACTGATATTAATATACGCATCTTTTTTTGTCAAGTATACCATTTCGTTTTCCCTTGCCATTTCCACCGCTCGATAGTCTTTTTTCTTCGTATTGCCAATTGTCGATTTCTCCCTGTTTCCCTCCTACCATCTCTACCACAAAACCGGCTTCTTCTGCATAATCGAGTTGACAGGAGGGGGAAAAATGACTAAAATGGCTAAATGAGTGCCAGATTTTTAGTTAGTTAGTCGTTCGGGACGCTGACTTTACCCCATTAATCGGTCTCTACAGACTACTATCACTAGAGTCGTTATTTGTCATCAGTTGTTTCCTTCGGTTTTCTTCGGTTTACTTCTGGTGATCGTTGAAAACATATTCTTTACGATTGTGACGGTAGTGATGTTCGTTGGATTCTCTTCTTCATGATGGAGAACGACTTTTATGTTTTCTACATTTTATCATGTGTCACCGTAAAAGATGTAGTGAGCAAAGGTTTTTCCGGCTCCGTGTTTTTTTTTATAACGAAAAAAACTTTGTACTGTTACTATTTTGAACTTCGGGCAGCTGAAATTTCATTTTTTGTTTGAATTAGCTAGCTTTGTTTCTCATTGAAAGTTTAGTTCTTCAGCCTATTTTTGATCAACCGATTCGATCAATTGATCGTTCCAGAAATCAATTGTTTTCCAGACTTTACTCTTTTCAGCCAAAAATATGTTTTCTTTTCTGCCACAAATTCCATACAATAGAGTATTTGCATTGGGGAGCCACGTCGACTCTTTTTCCATAAAGTTAATGTATGTATTCCATCCATCTATTTATTGATCATTTTTTCGGTGTTGTGTCCCATATTATTTCCATTCACTAAGTCCGTCACATGACTTTTCTCATTTTGGTCTGGTGTGTGTATATTATCAAAAATCACGACTAAAAAAACCAGACCGGTGTCCTTCTGACCACCGGTTGGTGATAAATACCGTCAGGTAATAGGGAAAGGAACTTCTCAAACAATCTTTAATGAGGATCACTTTTTTTGTCCTTGTCGTGGAGATGGTAGAGAAGGGTTGGTTGGGAGGCAATATAAAATTGAACACGGAAAACATTTTTGTTTTTTGTTTTTTCTTCCTTCTCAACTGTATCATCTCCACTTGACTCTGTCCCTCAACTCGACATTTCCCTGTCAGGATCGCGTGAAAAAAAACATACACAGAAAAAAGGGGAAAAATGGGCCCCTAGAGAACGGATCTGTTCTCTTTTCTAGAAATAAAAGAAGACGGGTCCCTTCTGGAATTCCTATATAGTTCGAGTGTCCTATGCGTCGTCCTTCCCGTCGGCGACAGTGGTCGTCACATTTCTCATTGTGATCCGTGTCTGAATTTCGTTGTACTTGACAAAGTTCATTAACTCGTTTCCTCCTACCGCCCTTTTCCTCTTTTTTCCCGCGAACCTATTCCTGCATTCCTGTTGTCGATCCGTTCCGTCACTTTGCTATTCTCGTTTCAGTACCAGGTTCGTGGCGACCCCACCGAGAGTGTCTCGAAATGTGCCAACCTTTTGTTCGGCACCTTCAGTAAACAAGGCCAGACGAGCCCCAAGTTTGACGTCACCCTCCCATCTATCTCTCTCACTCCTTCGTACCACTACCATCACAAAAATTGTCACTTCTTGTCTTCATCATTTTTTCCAGTAATAGAATGCATTCTTACAAGAAGAAATTAGTCGAGAAGTGGTCAAAAGAATTGGGCAAAATTCATTTTTTCATTCGTCACCATGACTACATTTTCCGTCCTTCAAAGAACCGGAAATCTGTTCCATTTGAATCCAAAATCTGTTTTCGCACGCTTATTTATCAGGATTAGCTTTGGTGTATGAATGAGACTTCTTCCTCATGCATCATATTGAATCAAAATCAAATTTGGTTTGATATGATTCATCAGACTGCTCTTTGAAATTTCCAAGAACCTTCCTAGAAAGTTCCAGTGAACTATAGGTTCTCAATTAAGCGCTTCCTTCTGAAAATCTCCTTGGAGCAGAGTACTTGTGCTTTCTTATTAATGACCACTCGCTGACGATAATACATCGCACTTGCATTGTCATTCGGTGCTTCCGACACTCTCTGTTTCTTTTGTCCTCCGATCACTCCCGCCGTTATCATGCGTCGTCGTTTTCCATAAATGAGCCTCATTTGGTCAACGATCCTGTTTTTGGTGGGCGCGAGCTCTCCAGTTTCCCTTTTCTGTCTTTCGTATTCGCTGTCTTTGAATGTTTGCTTGCTTTGTCCTCCATACTACCACCACCATCACCATCTCGGAGACCGCCCCGGATTGCATTTTTTCGTCGACAGCAGCAGCCAACAGCAAAAAATGGCTTCGTTCCTGTTTTGAATTGCGAAAAAATTAGTGTTTTTTCTTCTTCTCTTGAGCTGACGCCGCTTCTGTTGGTTTTTCTTTTCCTCTCCTCCCATTTGAATTGTCGTCGGGACTCTTTGCTCCTCATTTACACCAGAGTCATTTCATTCAATTTCACCATTTCACACTCATCTTATTTTTAAGACTCACTAAGGATGCGAAACGTGTTGACCCTTGGCTCTCTTCGTGTTTCTTTTTTCTTCTTTCATTTCTCCTCTTTCTGATAGAACACATCATAGTGGTTTCCGTTTTAGAGGTCCTAGTTCTGTGCGTCAAAATTTGAGAAATCTGCAAGTCAAAAAAGCAAAAGGTTCTTTGAGTTTAAACTTTTGCTCCTCCTCTGCTCTGCTTTTTGAATCTTTTGAAGTGCACCACCCAAGAAAAGAGCGCCAAATTCTGCCGAAGGAAAAAAAACCCAAAAAGTTTCCTCTCTGGGTCTGTTTTAGTTCGGTTTTTTTTCGCACCACTTTTTTTTTCTCTTTTGATATATACCAATTTTTCTCGGTCTGTGTAAAAAGCAAACACACTTCTTCAAAACCCCTTCAGCCCCAGTCCAGTTTTTGTGATAACCAGCACTAGGAAGGTTATTGAACTGAGGGTGATGGCCAAGTGCCTGTCTTCTCCCAATCCACTTTGAAAATTAGGTCAGATTATTTTCATATACAGTTTTTGAATTGAAAAAAGAGAGAAAAAAGCTCCGCCTTTATCTCGGACTCATCCTGAATTCCAATTTCATTGAGATGTCTATCTTTGTGGTGCGGCGGTGTGTGTGCGCTGATGAATGTTTTGCCCATTTCCGTTGTTGTTGCTTCTTCAGCACCACCCATCTCGCTTCTTAATTTCGATTTAAGCAAGCACAGAAGGGAATTTGTTAGCGGAAGAAAAATGATGAGAAAAAAAAGTAGGAAGTAAGACGGATAGACAAAGTCATTGGTCAGGTGTCCGGTAGAACTGATATTCTACCCCGAAACGAAAAGCTTTTCTAAGTCTCTTCATCTCTTTCTCCTCATTTTCTTATCATGTTTGCTGTCAAGATCGTCGTCCTGATAAAAATTTTTCTCCTTCCACACTATCTCCATTTCCGCATTGAAATGAAATGTTCTACAAGAGGAATAAATTAAACCAGGAATAAATTTTAGAGCATTTTCTTTCTCCTTCTGTTTTATTCAGTTCTTCCTCTTCATCTGAAGCCCGGTGACAAGTCATTTCCATCTAAAGCATACACTTAAGGCTCTCTCTTTTTTATAATTTTCTTTTTTCTTCCTTTGTCTTTTCGTTTCTTTTGTTACTACTTCTTCTTCTTCTTTTTTTTAATTCATTCCTTCAATTTCACCCATATATGAGTCACATTTAATTTCAGATATTGTGATGCAATCTTTCCGTAAAATTTGGAATAAACCTCGTCCAGATGATTGGATGCCACTCGCTAGATTCTACTATGCCGATTCAGCACTGAATGACATTGGTAGGTTTTGGAAATTTCTTTCCCAAAAATGGCCATCTGTCCTTTTGTTTCTTGATGAAAGGACATCAATTTTGTAATGGATAACAGGAACTCGATTGATGACTGTTATTCGGTGTAGAACTGCTGACGTAGACGAAATGCAAAAAAAATTCTCTGGGGCATGGCACCTAAGCTCTTTTGAAGGGTGCGTGAACAATACACAAAACCGGGCGCAGTAAATTCCGTATTTGCTCAATTTTTTAAGGGGAGAGTCTCCCTTTTTCTGCAATTGAAGCCAATCATCTGTTTTTTGAAGAAACTAATTCTCGTTTTTTCGTATAGTAAGCGAGAATCTCACGGTCTTCTTTCATTCCACTATAGTTTACCAAAATGGAGGGAATTTTGGACTGAAAATAACCATTGTTTTCCAAAAACAACGTCACTTTGATTTTGGGAAAGAAAAAGGATAGAAAAGAGTTGCTAAGAGCTCTCTCACAGTTTTCTCACAACACTTGATGTTTACCGAAGAGGTGAAGTAAACAACGAGTTCAATGGTTTCTTTCGCTTGTTTCGAAATTCAAAAACTGCTTATCATTCCTGTGTACGCGGCGATCAAACATCAATTGTTCCATTATCATTTTTTTCAGCAAGCGAGCTCGATTCATTCGATGGCAGAAGAGATCCGGACAGATGTAACGCTTTGGTCACAAGACTTCGTGTGGCTCAGGATCGTGTTCTACATATCATTAGTGAGTTTTTAGACACTTCAGGGACTCCATTGGAAAGTGCACGTACTTTGGATTAAACTGGTAGGGTTCATTTTGCTAAGAATGTGTAATGAATGTACTTACATTCAATTTAGAGAGAGTGCAAAGTAGGCACAACTTTTTTCTTCGAAAAAATTCATTTTGAGAGCAGGAGAGAAAATAGAAAAAAGTATTTTTTTCAAAAAAAAATAGTGAACATAAATATTTGTCAACTTCTCGAGATTTTTGACCACTAATCGTCAGCGACGAGGAGCTCCCTCGGTTTTGTTTAGGAAACCTAAATCTGTCGTGGTAGTGGGCCATTGTGGCGCTCTTTTCAAAGTGGTAGGGGAACGGAATTGAACTTTTGGTTTTTTTTTCAGCTGAAATGCTGATACACTTGTATCCACGAGAGCAGGATCGAGCATGCCGAGATTTCCGCATCAAGTTTCCCGACGAAATTTTGCACGACACATTGCCAGGACAACTGTGGTTTGGAGCAGAGGTTGGTTTCTTTTCCTGATTGTTGTTCGGGTCACAATAGCCGTACCAGACACTAGAAGACGACGAAAACAATGAGTGGTGGTTGCAAAGACAAGGAAATTTGAACTAACTACAGGGGGAATATTTAAAAAACGTTTTTTTTCAAAAAAGGGATCAGATTGAAAAGTCCAAGTACACTTACAATTTCATTGCAGTGCCTGTCCGCTGGATCTAACATCATTGACCACGAGACAGAATCGGATCTGATTCGACCGCTAGCAAAGGAAGTGACGAAACAGCTTGACATTCTTAGGGACTTGCTCAAGGTTAGTTTACAAGATACCACTGACAGCAGTCCACTAACGAAATCAGACACCACTGACATTTTGCAAACTTTCAGAACCAATCTCTACGCGATCCATCTGCATACAATCCAGTCATCAAGGAGAACTTGCTCAAGTTTGACAAGTTGTTTGCCGAATTCGAGTATCAATATGTGTCGGCGATGGTTCCAGTCAAATCGGTCAAAGAGCACGATTCTCAGCTGGATGTTGCTGTTCTCTTCTCTGAAGTACTCTCGCTGGCACTAGAGAAGGATCTGATCACACAAGACCTCATCGACTACTGTGACCCATCAGTGATGATCGCCATTCCGCGACTTGGCATCGTATGGGGACTGTTAGTCTACTCGGAAGGAGCGCTCAACGTTGACGTGCCCGCCGAAAATCTATCGGAAATGTTCCGCCCATTCTACTCACTTCTTGTCAAAATCCGCAACTTGTTGAGAATACTGACTCCAGTGGAGCTTACACGGCTGGAGACGGTTCTCTGCAAAGGTGAGACTGCTGTACCGGAAGACTCGTCCAGTAAACTCACAATGAGCGACTTCCGCACGAATGCCACCGACGAGGAGAAGGCGAAGAACAACCAAAGAGTGTGGATGTGTGACATGCCATCGGACAGTACAAGCTCTCTAGACTCTGATCTTCGGGATAGTGCTAGTGAGGCCACATCTCTAGCATCGTCTGGTCTGACGAGTCCAAGCTCTGGAAGCGAAGATAACCTCAACCGAATGGTGGATAAATCAGATGAGGAGTTGGACGATGACGTCATTGAAACTGCATCATCCGAAGAAAACGAAAGCGACAGCAACAACGAGAACGTTGAAATGGTGGCGTCGTCAGGAGACAGCAGTGAAACTGAGTCCAACTCGAAAGAAAACGAAGAAGACGTGGACGAGCAGGCAACTCTTCAAGCTTTGGCACATGAGACTGCGGAGCAATTGGTTGCGATTAAGAAGAAGCACGAGAAGCATAGCAAAATAATTATTCCAATGCAAAACGAGCCAAGGTAACTCAATGTTTTCAACAATAACATTTGAAAGGGGATATAGAGAGAAATGTAGTGTGTGGTGGAGAGAAAGAGAAGAAGAACAAGATGAAGAAGGAGGAAATAATAAACAACGACAGAAAGTGTCGACTCGCCAAATGCTATATTGACTTCTCCTTTTCTTTCTTTGCACCTCCTTCTCGTTCTTCTCATATCAGCCCCAAAGTTCTACCTCCTAGAAGACATAAAACAACTTATTGTTAAATTTTCGCTTTTTCAGGACTCTTATCGATCCGAAGAACCTGAGATCTCGCTTCCGTTCCTCCGAAGACCTCGTGCATCGACTTTTTGTGTGCATCGCTGGCGTCGCTGACCAGCTTCAAACCAACTACTCCAGTGAAATCAGAAAGGTGTTGAAGATAATTCTTCAGCCCTCAGAGGTGATCCCAGTCTACGAGGTGGTGAGATACAAACCGCATCCCTCCTTATCATTTCAATACGTGTTCAGGTCAACGCACAAGTCGCAAATAATTCCACCGAAGGCGAAGAGACCGGTGTTGAGGCACAGGAGACGTTACCACTTCCTGCATTCATGGGTAAGTTTTGAAAACTAACATGTCCTTTGTTTCATTTCGCACGTCCCTACCGTTAAACCAAAACTCTAACCATATGTTCGTTGTGTGTATAACTCGAGGCACGTGACTACTTATTGATTAGTTTACCCAGGTGTCCGATGGGTTCCGGATGAGGATTGCGAACAGTGCACCGCCTGCTCCATGCCATTCAATTTCGTTCGTCGTCGTCATCACTGCCGCAACTGTGGACGCATTTTCTGTCACAAGTGCTCTTGCAATTCTATCAGCATTCCGGAGCACGGATATGATAGAAAGGTATGTCTTTTGATTTTTCTCACAGAATTTTTTCTTCTGAGGCTCAGAATCTTAACCAAAAAAGTTGAAAAAGAATAATGCTCCTGAATTTGTTGAACCTTATTGTTTCCAGGTTCGCGTCTGCAATCTCTGCTACGTGCATCGACTCAATCCTTTCGGATGCAACGAGCAAAGTCAAGCCAGCGAGAATAACACTGGCATTTCTTCGGTAGCTGAGCAATCATCCGCTCAGGCAACATCAGCATCTTCATGATGAAGAATCATATTTTTACCACTAACTAATTTATCTCAAAGATATTCATTGCCCGATGTTCTACTCATCCCTCTGCACTTTAGTATTTTTTAGATTTTTATTCGGTTGTTTATTGTAGCTCTCTTGCGTATCAATTTCTATTGAAACATTTTTCCATCCTCCGGTTTTTTTGAAAATTCGCCTCTCCCCGTTGTGCACTGAACCCTTTTCTAATTGTTCTTGTAAATTGCTCCAACTTTTTTTTACAACACATTCATCACTTTATCAACTGGTCCTCATCACACTCATGTACCTTATTATTGACAAAAAATCCACCAACCAGACCTATCTGTGTTTATGTTTCTAGCCTTAATTTCATCATGTATCTTAAAATCCCATCGGAACCTTTTTTTCAATTTTTTTTAGTCTGTGATAGAAAATTCACTCATCACGCGCTTATTTTACTCGAGACATTTGTTCTCATGTATTGTATTCTTTCACGAATATGAGCAAATTGCCGGTTTTTCATTTCATGTTTCATAAAGTGTCTTACTTGTAGGTAATGTTGTGTTTCATTAATTTCCGTTTGTGAAGTAGAGGTCTTAGGTAGTCGTTAATGGCTACTTGGAGGTTCCACACTTTCAGGTGGAAAATACACATCTGGAAAAAAAACATGGAACTCTACAACTCCATTTCTTTGAAGGATACCTACCTGATTAGGATTTATCGTTTTGGATCTTCCCGAATCAAGGCTGTCGCGGCCACGGTTGAAAGCGACTTAAATTTACATCGAACACCAAGCGATCAGTGTTTTCTGGAACACAGAAACCGAAAAAACCCTTGTGGTTAGATGAAGCCAGTGAATATGTTCAATCGCCTCCATTTTTTTGCTTCAAACTGTCTTATGAACCAAAACAAACAGCGTTATAAACCAATGGAGCACGCTTTCTAACTAGCAGGAGAAACCTATGCTACACCGAAAAAGGTATTTTGAAACTGAGAAATTAACAATAATCCAAATATTCTATACAGACGCATTCAGGTTTAGTTCCAAAAGCGTTCCAAATGGTCGTTGAGAAGGCAAACAAGGTAAATGATAAAAATCTGATTTGAACAATTATTGGTCAATATGTTGTCGTTGGAGAATTTCGAGGAAATTCAGAAAATCACAGGACGTCTTGCAACACTTCACTTCATGAAGGAAATCCATCTGAATTGAATTTTTGTTTTTTATTGGATTCTCTCGATTCTGATAAAAACAGAGAAAAACCTTAAAACTTCTGACATGTTACTAATCGGAATTATGTTCTTTTATGGTATTTTTTTAAATATTTGAATTTAAAATATTCACATCGTTTTTTCAGATCGTCTTCATTATTCGTTTCGAATCACACTACCTAGCAAAAACCATTTCTGATGACGTGAACGAAATTCGTATAAATTAATCTCGGTAGCGCGCGTTTTCCAAAATGTATTAAAAGTCTAGGCCATCACGAAAAAGGGGATTCTAAGACTAGAAAGTAAAAAATAATATAAGATATCTACAAATAAATTTAGAATTATTAAATGAAATTAGGTTTGAGTGATTTATCAGAAATCAAGCAAGAGGGGATAAGAGAACCACCATTTCTGCTGCTGGCCTAGGTTTCTCTTTTGTGCGCGAGTTTTGAATATGGATGCATTTTAAGAAAAAATCTGTCTTTAGCTAAAGACAGCCAGATGATATTTACAATATGCAGTTTTCTAGGCAGTTCTTATTGTTAATCTAAACAGATTTTTCAAATCTTGGGAGTTTTTTAAAAATTTCGCAACATCATGTTGGTACACAAGGTTTCTAAAATACTACACACTTCTCAAAGCTTCCATCAAGCTCAAAATTGATAACACAAGTTGGTTCTTAGCAATGTTTGAGAAACGGAACGATGGAAAAAACGAGAAAAGCACAATTTCCTGCTGGTGAACTAGGTTTCTCTTTCTAATGCAAATTTCAAATAAAGCAGGCGTTGAAGAGAAAATAATAATTTTGAGCTGCTGATAACTGCGGCGGGGATCTTGATAAATTCTCGTGAAGTACTTCTGCTTGGTATCTCAACAGATTTTGAAAATCTTTGCTTTTTCAAAATTTCGCAATATATCCGCAAGTTTTTAGCTTAGTTGCAAACGGGCCGGCAGATAAATTGTCTCCAAAACGAGATATTCAGACAGTTTTGGTTCC